CATGCAGAAAATGCACTTTGAACAATTTTGGTTTACAATGTCACTTAGGAGACAAAAGAAAATAATTTTTGGTGTTTTTGATACTGCTTCTTATTATATTAAATGCAGGAAATTTCTCTACAACATGACGGGGAGAGTAGGCACAGACCTTAGTACAGCCTAACCTCCGCTACAGCCTAGGAGGCTTTTATTTTTTCTCAGCCTAAAATAACATTTAGCCAGCATGAATTTTCTTAGTAACCTGGGCTATACGTTTGAGGATCTTAAATGGGGTTTTCAGCTATGAGTGAAGGGGTTGAGTGTGGGCTTGGGCTGAGCTAAATCTTACTTCTGGTTTTTAGTTCCTACAATGTATTGTCCAAATTTTTTTAATAGGTTTGTATACTTAAGGTAAATTTAGCCCATCTGATTTGCAATTCCTGGGTCCGTCCCTAGGGGAGAGTCACTTGATTTATTATCCGAACCAAAGGGGGGTTGTAGAGAAGAGAGACCAAGAAGAAAGGAGAAAGGGAGAAAAAGGGTCGAGAAAAGCAACTTTAGTATTATCTTAATTAGATTACATTTGTATTTCCCTCCCCTTTGGCAGTACAGAATTAGAAGCAGACAAAGTATCGTAACGGCTAACGTAACGATAAACACAGCACCATGAATGAATTATAAAATAAAATAAAAATGTTTAAGCCGTGATGAGATGCTAGCTGTTAGACTCAACCTGGTTAATCTCTTCCTCCTCATTCCTTTTTTCAACTGTATAAATAAAAGAGATGCTTGCTGTTAGACTCAACTTGGTTAATATCCAATGCACTAAAAGGTTCATGTACCTGCAGCCATATACCACTTCAATTAATAGATGCGGATGTAGTTCGACTTGTAATTAGTACCATAGGCAACTGAAAATTTGCTCCATGGCAAGCCAATTTTATTTTATTTTTGCAAATGTATCAGTATACATGTCAATTGTGGAAACTCTTATTAGATTTTCATGCCCTTTTACATTGATTTTCTTCTTTTATTGTTTTAACTTATTGGAAGAAGGGCCTTTAACTTAACAAAAGAGAAGAAATTTGAATCTGAGAGATCTTCCAACTTTGGAGAGAAATTAATTCCGACAAAAATAAATACATGAACCTAAAAACTTTAGCGAAAGTTGGCCAAAAATTAAGGGAAAAAAGTCACGTACATATATATTTGGCATTCGTATCATTTTTCATCACCTCAATTTTCATTCACATTTTTCTAAAATGGCTCTGTGGTTTAGTTTTATGGTAGGAATTGTAGCTCTTCTTTCTGTTGTCGTATTGCAACCCTACCAAGTACATGCAAATGGTGATGCAGGCGCAGGGCATGATAAACAATCAAATGGCTGCAATTACTTTCAAGGAAGTTGGATAATTGATCCTTCAGATACACATCCACTCTACGATTCATCGAAGTGTCCATTCATCAATCGAGCATTCGAATGCCTGAAGAATAGTAGACCTGATAAAGAGTACCTCAGATATAGATGGAAGCCAACTGGATGTGACCTTCCAAGGTAAAACAGTTCCTCTTCTTACAGGGGTTTTATTCTTCTTTGATATCATTTCACAATCGTCATAAATAAAACTGTTTGTACCACATTACTGACTAAATCTCTTGAGACGCGATATGTATCATTTAGATATGTATGTGTGTAACATGTTTTGCAAATGGAGCACAGATTCAATGGTGAGGACATGCTGAGGAGGTTAAAGGGGAAAAAGATATTATTCGTAGGGGACTCGCTAAGCTACAACCAATGGCAGTCACTAGTATGCATGCTGCATGCTGCTGTGCCCCAAACCAGTTATACTCTAACAAGCAAAGGTGGCCTCTCCAAGTTTTATTTGCCTGTGAGTTTTCTGCGTCCTAAATCAATCAAAAAAACTCATTAACTTAATCCATTCCATTTATCATACAGTTTAATAGTGGAGTGGATCTTTTGATTTTGTTGACAAGAGACCGACCCAGGCTTATAAGATGTGAATTTTGCAGGATTATGGAGTTTCTGTGTCGCTATCTCGAAATCAGTTTCTAGTGGATCTAGTCAAAACAAAAGTGGGCAGGGTTCTGAGGCTTGACTCCATTGAAAATGGCAAGACATGGAAAGGATACGACATGCTTATCTTCAATACTTGGCATTGGTGGCTGCATAAGGGAAGGCTACATACGCTAACTATGAATCTAAATACACTAATGTTCTCCACCACGCATGTCACGTTGTACAGATTCAAACATTATTCTACTTGAATAAATTCTTCAATCTGATAACATATGATACGTTAAATAGTCTGATAATTGAATTGTTTTATGTGGGAGTTTCAGGTGGGACTACATTGACGTAGGAGGAAAGGCGCACATGGATATGGATCGTTTGGATGCTTTTAGGGAGGGATTAACTACTTGGTCCAAGTGGGTGAACTCTAATGTTCATTCCAACAACACCAAAGTTTTCTTTCAAGGCATTTCTCCAACCCACAACAAGTATGTCCCTCAATAATTATTTTCTGTTTTAAATATTAATTAATTATAAATTACAATTTATTGGTTTAATTTCTCTCAGAAAAAAAAAAAAGGAAAAGAAAGGTATTAATCTTTTTTTTTTTTTTTTGGGGTAGTGGAAAAGAATGGGGCTCAAATTCAACAACTTGCAATGGAGAAACTCAACCTATAAGTGGCTCAATATATCCAGGAAGCTCTCCACCTGCAACAACTGTGGTCAACGACGTGTTGAGTAAAATGTCAACTAGCACCCCAGTAACTTTGCTGGACATAACTTTACTTTCGCAGCTGAGAAAAGATGGGCACCCTTCTGTTTATGCCGGTGATGGGGAGAAGGGAAATGATTGTAGCCTCTGGTGCCTTGCTGGTGTCCCTGATACCTGGAATGAACTTTTGTATGCAATTCTTGTGACTAAGTAAAGACTAGGGAGGAGAAGATGATACAATAAATAACTTGTTCAATCAAAATAAAAAGTGTCAAAAACAGATGCTAAAGTAATTCTTATTATATACTACATGTTGGGTTTTATTCTGCGGGCACAACTGTTTTAGTTCATTTAATAACCATATCTCATTGTTTCCAATAGAAAAAAGAAAGAAAAATCTATAACCATCAACATTATGATCTTTTCTCACTCTTTAAATTAGGGCTGGACACAATTAGGTCTAGTCGGTTATTTTGTACAAATCGGCCACCAAACTAATGTCGTCAGCAATCAAAAGTCGAGAATCGAGACTGACCCAACACGAGCATATACCGACCACTTCTAAAATTTTGGTTGGACTCAACTCGGACACCGAACTATAGGCCTCGGTTTGGCTATTTTGGAAACCCGAACCAAACCATAATTGATGAAAACTGACCACTTCAGTTAATCGGACTTAGTGGGTGGTTTGGGTTTTTATTTGGCTTTCTCAGAGAGAGAGAGAGAGAGAGAGAGAGAGAGAGAGAATAAAAGCAATGGAGAGAGGGAGAGATGGAGAGGATAAGAAGGAAAAAAAAGAGGGAGAGATGGAGAAGAAAAAGAAAAAGAAGAAGAGAAAAAGAAGAGAGAGAGTAGAAGAAGAAGAAGAAGGGAAAAAAAGTGAGACGGGGAGAAGGAGTGAACATAGATGTAAGAAGAAAGAGAGAAAAAAATAGAGAGAGAGGGACTGATGGAGACACGATAGAAGGAGAGATAGAGAGACAAGTAAAAGAAAAAAGAATTTTTTTAAATTTAAAAAAAAAAAAAAAAGAGAAGACAAGATGCATGCGTGTGTTTGGGGTTTTTAAAAAAATTCGGTTAGGCATGTGTGTTGGCATGCCCAACAACAAAAGCTAGCTTTTTTGTCATATATCACGGATCGGCTCCGCCGTAGCACGATATTGTCCGCTTTGAGCCCCTCTCTCTGCCCTCACGGTTTTGTTTCTGGAAGCTCACAAGCAACTTTCCAGTGGGTCACCCATCCTGGGATTGTTCTAGCCCCAACTCGCTTAACTTCAGAGTTTTCATGACTCCGAAACCAGTGAGCTCTCAAAAGGCCTCGTGCTAGATGGAGGTGGGCATGTACGTATAAGACACATCATCCCCTCTCCGTTGGTCGATGTGGGATGTTACATTTTTATTATTTTTTTACTTCTTTAACCTATGTATTATATATATATATATATATATATTATAATAATATTATACATATTATTTATTTAATACCATCAGTTTGGTTTGGTTAAACTGTGGTTTTGGATATTGTAAACTGTATACCAAATCATACATTTCAGTTTAATTTGAGTTCAAACCGATGACTAAAAAATTTTTGAAAAAAAACCAAACCAACCTAAACCATTGGTTTGGTTTGGGCGGTTTGACCGAGTTACCAGTCTAAATACTCATCCCTAAGAAATATATAAGCTTTGAAATAATATCAACTAACCTCTCCGCATGAGCTTCCTCGTCTGCAAGAGGCTTTTTTAAAAAAAATTTAAATTTATTTTAGAATTAAAAAAAGATAATGGGTAGTTGTGTTCCATAAAAATTGAGTCCATTATCTGATTTTTCTTTCAATTTTAATTTTTTTTTTAAATATGAAAAAGTGTGAATTTACCATATTATCCTCATTTACTTAATAATTTCAATTCTTAATGTTTGCATTAACCAATGGCATTTTCTGGTATTTTGAATGTTTCATCATTCTCTACATTTTGCTATATATATAGATCAATGAAAATCCACCACATCGATTTTGATTTTTTTTTTTTATAATGTTGGGAATTTTTTTTTAATCACTCTAATCTAGCATTGCCCGGAAATCTAGCACATTGTTAATTAATATCCGGGCAATCCTCCTCGTTAACTATTTTTCTTTTCCTCAATCATATTCAAGTAAGTAATCCCAAATTCAAAGGTATGAATTTTTTTTTTTTGGTCAATAAAGGTATGAATTATGGTAAACAAATAAACTGTATGTGATAAATGATGACCACATTATTGGCAACATCTGTACGTTTCCTATGTACAGAATTTATATTAGATTTTGAAGTGACAATGACAAAACTTGCAGCGTCTAAAATGATTTTCAATTTAAAAAAAAAGGAAACTATTCCAACGGAGGAGAAGAGAGAAAAGCAGGGGAAATAAAAAAAGGAAATTAACAAATGGCAAAGGGCCACCCAAAAAAAATCCTTATAATTTATTTATAAAGAACCTTTCAGTTTGTCTGAAAATTAATTTGAGTCTTCAGAGAATCTGAAATGGCATTGTGGTTTCAGCTTCTTGCTCTGGTTGTCTCTTTGGTTCTGCCATTGGCACCCAAACAAGTGCAGGGGGGTCCATTTTTTTATGCTGCAGGAAAATCTGGCCTGAATCCATCTTCAACTGGATGTGATTTTTTTCAAGGGAGTTGGGTTGTTGATAGTTTGTACCCTCTTTACAATGCATCAAGCTGCCCCTTCATTGGTTTCAATTGCCTCAACAATGGCAGACCTGATAAACAGTACCTCAAATATAGGTGGAAGCCTACTGGTTGTGACCTTCCAAGGTACTAAACATCTTTCCCTTGGCTAATATACTATTATTTTTGGACACTGTATTCCTCATCACTACTGCAAATCACATTTTTATACATATATGCAAAAATAATTCATTAAAAACACACAGTAATGATTGGGAGAAACGAGGATTTCCGGCTTTTAGGATAATGAGGCAGATATTGTCCTTCTATTTTTGTTCAATCAATTTTGGTTACATCCTACCAGTTCTGTGAAATTGGCACAGATTCAATGGTCAGGATTTCTTGGAGAGAAACAGAGGCAAAAATATCATGTTTGTGGGGGACTCACTAAGCAACAATATGTGGCAGTCACTGACATGCATGTTACATGTTGCGGTCCCAAACTCTAAATACAACTTAACCCAGAAAGGGCTGCTCTCCACATTTTACCTTGAGGTGATGTTTGGCAAGGCCCTCTCAATCCATTTTGAAACCCAGATTTTATGGATTTTTTTTTCTTGAATTTATTCAAATCAAATTCAATTCTGGTTAGGTGATGTTTGGCTTTCTTTTTGTGTTTGATATAGGAATATCAAGTGTCAATTATGTTTCTGAAAAATGGGTTCTTAGTGGACTTGGCTTATGAGAAAATAGGCAAAGTCCTAAAACTGAACTCCATCTCCACTGGCAACCAATGGAAAGGAGTAGACACGTTGATCTTCAACACATTTCACTGGTGGACTCACACTGGGCGCTCTCAAACGTAAGTATGAGTAGCATTTAATTTGCATACCATATACAATAACGTCTTATTTCTAAACAGACAGTCTGGCATGTTATATTGTTAGACTGTCAATTTGAGTTACGAATTCAGAGAATCTTGTCTATAATTTAAATTAGACAGCCTGACAAGACCATGTATCAGACTATCTTGTCAAGAGGACATTTCCATACCAAATATGTATAAGTTACAAACAATTAATAATAATAATTAATTTAAGATTGAATAATTGGTGATTAATTCTTTGATTTTGTTGCAGATGGGACTACTTTCAAGTAGGGGACAAGTTAGTGAAAGAAATGGATCACATGGAGGCCTACAAGATTGCATTAACAACTTGGGCTAAATGGGTTGATTCCAACATTGATTTTTCAAAGACCAAAGTCTTTTTCCAAGGAGTTGCTGCAGTTCATCTTGAGTAAGTTCAACTCCCCGTCTCAATCAAATTGTTCATAAAATTTGCACATTCAATGTTCTTAAATCTTAACATATGCCCTTTTTGTGGGCATCAAATCAATTGTTTTAGTGGCAAGGAATGGAAGGACCCAAAAGCAAAAGGGTGCCTAGGGCAAACCCAACCAGTTCTAGGGCCAACTTATCCAGGCCCAAGCCATCCAGGAGAAGCTATTGTAAAAAGTGTCTTGAGCAGCATTGAAAATCCTGTGTACTTACTGGACATTACTTTGCTCACCCAGCTGAGAAAAGATGGCCACCCCTCCATTTATGCAGGCCAAGGGCCCAAATTTGTAGACTGTAGCCATTGGTGTCTTCCTGGTGCTCCTGATGCTTGGAATGAACTTCTATATGCAGCTTTGCTCTAGCCGCCCTTTTTTATTCCTATTCTTTTTTCTTCTTAAAATTCTTCTTATGAATGTCGAAAGGTTAATAATAATTTGGGTTAAATGCAAAAATAATCCATGTGTTTTCAATTTAGCTAATTCGGTCCCCGTGTTTAGGACCGTTAGCCAATATTGTACATTCTGTGAAAATACAACAATGTTGTCAAACTCATTATGTTACATCCAATTTAATATGAAAAACAAATATTTGCATCTAACAAAGACAAATGAATTAACTTTCCACTAAAACGGTTAACAAAACTTACTGGCCACGTCTTCTATTAATTAAGAACATCATGGAAAGGAAATTATGAATGTACCTCCAAAAAGGATTGGTGATTTAAATTACTTTGTCTTACATAAATTAATCTAGTTATAAATGAAAATGAAAATGAAAGTAGGGGATGCAACATTCAATTCATGACAAAAATAAAGAATTTTCATTAATTGTAATAAAGTGGAAGTAGTACAATCTCAAATAGGCCAGCACATAAGATTTTTTTTTTTTTTTTGTCTTTTTTTTGGTGTGGGTTCAAAACCTAGGTACTAGAAGCTACAACAATGGCGACGACAACAGTGATGTCGTCGATCTTGCCTCCGACGCGCTCCACTCCGGCCTTCTCAGCAGCCATTTGAAAAGGGGTAACGTTGTCCTCGTCCTCGGAGTTAAACAGAGCCACGGCTGCTATGGTTGAAGCCAACTCCTGACAATCACAATCCCGACCACCGCTTACTTTATTAAACGCCACCAAAACCTCCTCAATCTCACTCACAAACATGTTGTCCAGCAACCCATCTGACCCAAGTACGATAATGTCCCCAGGCATCATATCCTCCACCTGAAACTCCTCCGCCGCTTCGGGACGATCGCTGTGGACGTGGTTCCCCAACTGGTAGGGACAGTTGAACCTCCGCTGCTGAGTTGGAGATATGTACACACACATGGCCTCCCTGAACAACATGAACCCGCTGTCCCCGACATTCACGGCGTGAAGGGACCCACGCTCTTTGTCGAAGCTGAGGATGCAAGCCGTCGACGAGCCTTGTACGTCGGCGTTGTTCTCGTAAGCCTCGTTCAGCACCTTTCTTGCATCCACGGGGTGGGCTCCGATGGCGGCCATATGCGTAGCCGTTTCTTTGGCGTGGTTCATGATTCCCCTTGCGTACTCACCGGCGTCGATGCCTTTCCTGGCCCAGCCGCCGACGCCGTCAGCCACGCCGATAGTCTGAGCAAAGTGGGATATGAAGTGGGCGTCTTCGCCGAGGGGCTTTTCGGGGTTGTCTTTGGGGCAGTAGCAGGACCCACAAACCAACTTCATCTTCTCATTCTGAATTCTCCTCCTCTTATTTGTGTCTTGTAATTCTTGAACTTCATCAATAGGGTTATTCAACTTCCTCTTTTGATGAGGGGCAGGGCCACAGCCATAGCCATAGCCATAGCCACAGGAGCCGTAGCAATCATCGATCGGCGTCTCCAAACCAAACGTAGGCGGCTTGTTCGCTGCGATCATCATCTTTAACAACACACACAACACAACGAGAGAGTAGCGAGAGCAAAAGCAACAGAGAGAAAGAGTGAGTGAATGGAATGGGAAGGGAAGAAAGCGTATTTATAGATTTTCATTTCTCCTTGTCCCATCAGGTTTAGTTTTATTTTTTATTTTTTTATTCATTTGAGAAAAGAGGCCCATTTCATTTCTGAGCCCTAAAATTCCGATATTGCCCTAGATTTACAAGGAAACAACTCGTAGCCCACGCAGATAAAGAGGTCCATGCGGTACAGTGTAAATCAATCCGGTCCACGTTTTGAAAGGACGTTTTGCGCATTTTACTTGACCTTGAAAGAAAGAGAAATCACTAAATTGCCATTCGCAAGAGTTCATCCATGTGGAAAGTTCTCGACTACTAGCAGCAAGCTCTATTTTGTGTTTAATAAAGTATGGTTTTTCATTGAAATCTCAAAACCCTATGAATCTAAATCTTATTTCTATTTTTAAAGGATAATTTTAGTATTCACATAGACAATTGAAAATGAGAATTATTGGTATTCTCGAGCCTTTGCATTTATAGTCTACATATTTACTAGCATTTCGCTTAATCTTAGTCGTTATAATAATTTAACGACCTACTATGAAATTTAGTTTTATGTTATGAGATCCATCATATTATTTTAACAGCTTAAAGTGCAATTTTGCCCTTCTAGTAATATTTTATTTTATTTATTAAAAATATATAATTTTAGAAAAAAAAACCCAAACCCAGCACTTGTAGCTCTCTGTTCTCTTGTCAACGGCGGCAACTTTTGTGTGCTTAGGCTGGAGTTTGCCAAAATTCTAGTTTTGGGTGTGAATTGGGCTGTATGCTTATTTTTGAGCTCTGATTGTATTTGGGGTTGGCCACTGGACTATGTGTGTTGTTTTATTTTGATTTTTTTTTTTATTGTCTTGGGTGTGCGAAATTTGTTCTAGACTTAGTTTGAGTTTAGATGTTCTTTCCCAGTTGTATTACGGTTCTATTGTGTCATTGGTTTATGCTTTATATACACTTGTCTATTTGGCATTTTAATGGAATGAGATATGAATAAATGAAAAACCCTAGATTAATGAGATCAAACAAAGTCCCCCCACCAAAGCCAAATGGTAATCCAATGATACTCCATAAGCCAGTTTTCTAAAACCCACCACAACTTCACTCTCTTCTTGAAGTTCTCCAGAGTGTTGATCTCTCAAGCTTGAAGTGGCTAGAATCTTCATTTGATCATGAGATGTAATTGAAATCAGTTTGTGTGACCCATGAGACAACCATAGCAAACATGGCAAAGGTAGTCTAAGCACACATCAAAGTTTGTTGATCAGTGGAGTGGTTATTACGATGATGGCGGTGCTAGAACGGGGTGGGTTTGGGTCCTTTTCTTTTCTTCATAATTTTATTCAAAATGTAAAATTGGAGTTTTAGACTGTGAAAACTAAATTAAATTTATAGTGGTTGACGTGTCATATTATAAATCGTTAGATTACTACAACGACAAAGATTAAGTGAAATGCATATATAAGTTACAAGGTACCAGTCAGAATACATTTTCATACCACACATATAGGGCCAACTTATCCAGGCCCAAGCCATCCAGGAGAAGCTATTGTAAAAAGTGTCTTGAGCATCATTGAAAATCCTGTGTACTTACTGGACATTACTTTGCTCACCCAGCTAAGAAAAGATGGCCACCCCTCCATTATGCCGGGCAAGGTCCCAAATTTGTAGCCTGTAGCCATTGGTATCTTCCTGATACTTGGAATGAACTTCTATATGCAGCTTTGCTCTAGCCACCCTCTTTCTTTCTTTTTTTTTTTTTTTTGGGTCTTCTTAAAATTCTTCTTCTGAATGTCAAAAGGTTAATAATAATTAGCCTTAAATGCAAAAAGGGTCTCCGTGTTTAGGACCATTAGCTAATGTTGTCTATTATGTGAAAATATAATAATGTCGTCAAACTCATTATGTTACATCCAACGTCATTTGAACAACAAATATTTGCTTCTAACGAAGACAAATTTATTAACTTTCCGCTAATACGGTTAACAAACTTACTGGCCACGTGTTTTATTAATTAAGAACATCATGGTAAGGAAATTATGAATGTACCTCCAAAAAGGATTGGTGATTTAAATTACTTCGTCTTGCATAAATTAATCTAGTTACAATTGAAAATGAAGTGAAAGTACAATCTCAATTTCTAGTTTTTCATCTCTCCTTGTCCCATCAGGATTAATTTTCTTTTTTATTTTTTTATTGAGAAAATGATTCAAATTTCATTTGAGAAAAGAGGCCCATTTCATTTCAGGTCCTTAAAATTCCCATATTGCCCTAGATTTACAAGGACACAACACGTAGCCCACGCAGATAAAAAGGTCCATGGGCAGTGTAATCAATCCGGTCCAATTTTTAAAAGGGACGTTTTGCGCATTTTACTTGACCTTGAAAGAAAGGGAAATCACTAAATTGCCATTCCCAAGAGTTCATCCATGTGGAAAGCCTCGACTACCAGCAGCAAGCTCTATTTTGTGTGTAATAAAATAAAGTTTTTCATTGAAATCTCAAAACCCTATTTCTATTTTTAAAGGATAATTTTACCAAATCCCTAAATCTAGTTCAATGGTTAAAACATGGACCGAAATCTCTTGTTCAATGTGCATAGGATTGTACAGTAATATAGGTGTTAGGATAGTTGTGCCGTGTCACCTTGAAGTCCTCATCACAAGATTGATTGTGCAATTTCCTTACAAATGCTTTTCAATCAGATTTCATTTTGTTTTGAGTAAAAGAAATATTCTAAATTCAGGAGAGGTTTCACACACACACTAGCTATGACAATAATATGAACATAGTCACAGTCAGATAGTGACATGTACATAGTCACGATCTAGTTACAGTCCGCTTAAATAATTGTTATGTTATAATGTTTGTAATGTATAAAATGTATTTTTTTTAAAGGGTATACACGAACATTATTGAAATAATTTTTTATTTTTTTTTCCAATAAGATAAAGGTTATTAATTTGTTGTTTTTGATATTCATTAACAAAATTATATAGTTAATGACATCCTGATGATAGAATGATTAAATTTGGTAGTCTTCATTCCGTAACTTTTAAATACAACTAATATATTTTACGAGAAAGATCCAGATTTAGTCTTTTTAGTATTGGATGCAACATTTAATTAATCAGCTCATTAATTATAATGCACATTTATGAATTAAAAAAAGAAGAAGAATTGTATTAATTGTAATGACGTGGAAAGTACAACCTCGATTTCTAAACCTAAGCTAGTCTTCTCTTTTTCTTTTTGTATTTGTTTGTTCAAAACCGAAACCTAAGCTAGCTGGTGTAGTGAAGGAGGTCCTAGAAGCCACAATTTGGGCCACAACAACAGTGATGTCGTCGATCTTGCCTCCCGCGTGCTTCAGTCCGGCCTTCTCAGCCTCCATCTGAAAAGGGCTAACGCTGTACTTGTCCAACGAGTTAAACAGCGCCAGGTTGGCTATGGCGGAAGCCAACTCCTCACAATCCCGACCGCTTCCTTTATACGCCACAAGAACATCCTCAATCTCACTCGCAAATATGTTGTCCAGCAACCCGTCTGTCCCGAGCACTATGATGTCCCCCGGGACTATTGCCTCCACCACAAACTCCAGAGCCGCCTCCGGACGGTCGCCGCCCACGTGGTTCCCCAATTGGTACGGACAATTAAACATGCGCTGCTGAGATGGAGACTTGTACCAACACTTGCTGTCCCTGAACACCATGAACCTGCTGTCCCCGACATTCACGGCGTGCAGGGCCCCACGCTCTTTGTCCAAGCTGAGGATGCAAGCCGTCGACGAGCCTTGTAGTCCGGCGTTGTTCGCGTAGGCTTGGCTCAACACGTTTCTTGGATCGAGTGTGGCTGCGGTATTGGCGGCTGCCATTTTTTTAGCGTTGTTCATGAGTCCCCTGGCGTACTCGCCCGCGTCGACGCCTATCTTGGCCCAACCGCCGACGCCGTCCGCCACGCCGATGATCTGGGAGTCTTGGCACATGAAATGGGCGTCTTCGCCGAGAGGCTTGGTTGGGTTGTCTTTGGGCAGATAGCACGACCCACAAACCAGCGTCATCTTCTCATTATGAATCTTCCTCCGATTCTGCCCTAATTCTTGAAGTAGATCAGGGTTATTCAACTTCCTTTTTCTACCCAATTTATCATGTCTTGTTGTTGTTATAAATTCTTGACAGCCTCCATAGCCATAGCCATAGCCATAACCACCGAATGCAGGCTTGGTGTCAGCGATCATCATCTTTCACACAGCGATATATTAGTATTGAGAGCGACAAATAAGAGTGAATAGAATGAGTGCGGACCAACCAATATTTATTATTTATAGAATTCCGCCTCTCCCTTTTGCCATTAGGTTTCCCACTAGGATACGGAAACATATTGCCCTTTTGGATGGAAGCAACTCCATGTCACTCAGTTTCAGGCTTATTATTGTTGGGACAACAATTGCTTCTAGAAGAAATGCCCCACTCGTAGTTCACAATATACGATTAATAAGAAAAATATAATTAAACAAGTAGATAAATTTAACTTGATAAAAATCACCATTTACTAAATTTTGATTCACCTTGTTTTATAAAATTGTTTGACTGCAAACTAATTCACCAGCCAATTGTTGACATATATGAGTGAACTCGTATGTATTATTTATTTTTCACATATATATATGTTAAGAAAACTTGACGAAAATGAGCAAAGTGAGACACGGAGTAGAGTTGATATTTAAGGTTCTAATGAAGCAAATTGAGTTTAAAAGGTAAGATGAGGCTGCTATTAAGTTTTTTTATTTTCCCGATCTTAACCTTTTTCTCGTGGAATTGACTAATGCATGTACCAATAATGAAAAAACTCTTTAAAACATCACAGCAATTAAACGTTCCAATCATGAAACACTAAAAATATGAACAACTTATGTAACAAAAAGTGTGATAATCCAAAACATGCTTTTAACAGCACCAATTTTCATGATCCATAACAATAAAGTACAACTTGCAACAAGTGTTTTAATTGATGTGTTAGAATAACATACAACTTATAATGTTTTTTTATTCAATTCTTTTGATTTGTGTGAAATATTGGAGTAAACTAAATATTATAAAAATTCAATCTTACCCACAATCGCTTTTGCATCTTGTTCATGGTTTAGTTTCTGTTTGCTTGGAGTTGAGCCGTCGGATTGGGATGTATATGGTGACCCACATCTATCGTCAAAGTTTTGCTATGATTGGCTGTCTTGCCAATTGGAGTTTCAATTTGAATATGGGTTTATTTTTTAAACCACTATTTCCTGGGCGAGTTATATAATTGTTTAGATAGAAAAGAAGTCACTTTTATATGTTTCATGATAAATTAAGGGTTTCTTTTATTTTGTTTTTAATTTATGTACTTATATTTTAAGCATTTTAAATGGTTAATTTCTATTTTGCTTAAAGATACAAATTTCCCATTACTACTACCAGAATATTGAATGCATTTAAAAGAAATTAAAGGCAACTCTCATATTGGCATCAATTATCTTTCTTCGTTGTATTTATTTTGAGGTTGATATAAATTAGGGACATTTTAGAAAAAGCAAAAGGAGTGAGAAAAATTTTAAAAGAAGCAAAAATGGACAAAAATGCCCTTATTTATTTTTAGATTTCCTAAGGAATCCAATACATTTGCATGTCTTTGATTTGAAAGTTGAGTGGTTTTTTTGTCTTTTTTGAAAAAGCTTTGGCTTTTTCTAAAAGTGAAAAAAAATTTATGTCTAAAACCTAAAAAACCTTATAAATTAATAGTTGACAATGCGTCACACGCTACTGTTGTTAGCATCTTACTTTTATTTATATCTCATTTATCCCAAATACATATGAGTTTTTTCTTTTGGTCTGTCAAATACATATGAGTTTAATTTATCAATTCATGGTGTAAATCCGCCATGGCCCGAATGTACAGATATGTACCCTATTCATGAGCTTCCAATTTTTTGAAGTCCTCGTTAGATATTTTAAGCTTTGCAACCCCCTGGCCCCTAGATCATTGCGACTGTCTTTCCTCCGCAACAAGGCCTGGATGGGTGTGGATGTAATATAACCAGCAGTTTTGTTTAGGCCTTAAACCTATGTGGGGTGGTGTTTATTGATTCCCAGGATCTATACCCATGACTTGTAACTAGATATGGATGCAATCTAGCCACCATTACACTCCCTAACATCCACCAAGAAAATATATAAAGAGGTTACTTTTTTTTTTCCCAAAATGAATAACTCTGAAAAATGTTAGACATTAATCGCATTTTCAGATACAATTACATAAAAGCAAATCCTACAAGTGCTTCCATCTAGATTACAATACCACGCGCTCCTGATGTACTTGCAGAGTCAACTTGGAATTTACTTCTGTATCTGTATTCTTTTATCCTTTATAGGCAGCTCCACTGGCTTCTGAGCCTCATGTGGATGATCTGGGCCCTTGTAAACCTTTAGGTGGTTGAAAAGTGCTCTGCCAAGCTGCACAAGAGAATTTGTTTCAAAAGGAAATAGATGCAGAGCTGCAGAGTTGCAAAGACAGGAGCAATAGCTAGTTTTCTAAACAGCAACTTGTAATTGAAAATCGAAATTGTAACTGGTTAAAAACTCTCCTCCAGTGCAACTCAAGACTAGTCATGTACCATACTAATAGAAAAGGTAAGAAAACTATGAAGGAAAAACGAAGCACACTTATCCATGCAGATAGCTTCAAGTGTAGTCTTAGTTTATGAACATTATGAATGAGTCCGGGAGTTGTAAGTTTCGTTTATTTCAACCCTTTGTTTAGCAGTCAATCATATATAATGTAAAATGAAAGATCTAATTTTATTTGTCTGCGTAGGAACTCACCCTCCCTTTTGGAAGCATACCCCGAACAGCATGTTCGATAATTCTCTCTGGAATTCTCTGCTGTAGCTGGTCAAATGTTTCCACTGTCATCCCACCTGGTCGTCCAGAATGCCTCCTGTAGAGCTTTTGGGTTCTTTTCTTGCCAGAAACTGCAACCTTCTCTGCATTTACCTATAAAGTTTGAAAGCACAACACAGTCATCCACCTGAGCATAGAAGCATTTGCGAGCCAAAAGAAGAAAAAACATGCAAACAAGTAAAGTTAAAGCAAATGCCAGAACCTTGACAACCAGAGAGAACAACAATAAATTACTTGAAAACATTAAGATGATCTACTAGAAAACCACAGTTTGACCAAACGCATTTTGGGACCTACCCAAATTTAATAAACCAACTAAAATAAATTATTTTAAGCTAACTCTACAAAACAACAAATTTTCAAGATTGCTTCAGAATACATTCAGAGTCTATAGACCATACTTTATACATTTATTATGATTTCAATAAGATTGGCTTAACTCCAAGAGTCCGTCCTATTCTTCTTTGTTCAATCCCTGGTTACCTTCTTTGTGATTTGTGTGTGTCCATGTGCGAAAACTTTTAAAGAATGCCAAAAGTATGTCAGATAAATTATATAAAAATTAGATAACATAAACCACAAATGGTAGGAAAACATGAAGGGATATGTGGAGTCCACTCAAAAGCCAATACAGTAACTGGTACATCAAAATCATTAAAGGCTGTTCTTTTTTCTTGTTCTTATAGGAAACAGAATGGATATATTGAAAGAAACTGTGAAGTACAATGAGAGTGGACCAGCCATCCACACAAGATACAACCTACAATAACCAGAATCTCAATAGCACAACAGCCAGAAGAAAAAAACCGTCTGCCAATCAATCCCAAAGAATAATAAAAAACAGAGAGAAAAATTTAAAAATAAAGGCAGTTCTCACTAGAAAGTTCTCTTCCCCCTCCTTGCCTTCCATGAAAACCCATACCATTAGCAGTTTTAAAAATAAATCTGCTAGATCTCATCTGCAGTTGAGTTCTTTATCATTTTTATCATCACATGGTATGAATGGTTATCATAGAACAGTTATTGCAGTAAAAGTTACTAAATTTTAATTTTAATCTCATACAATTTCATATTTATAAAAATTATTTTTCACTTTTTATTTATTTTTGGTTGAACAGACAACTACCACAAATCCATCAGTTCATTATTTTTGCTTCAATGATGTTATGGACTCATGATTGGATTACAGCATACATAGAATTAAATGAAACCTTTATTTTCTTTTTCTTTCGTCTGACAATAAAAAAAACCTTTACCTCATGTAGAAATAATCTTGAAAATAATTAAGAAAAGAACAAGATATAAAGAGTAAAACATGGTGCTAGAGGCACCAATGGTTCACCCGATGGCAATGATACAAGTAGAAAGGAAAAAATTGTAGATTTTTATTTTTTTTTAGTAACCATTTATCTCAAAATTATTTCACTAATCCAAGCCATTTCTAAGATATCCCATATAATAATCTCACTAGGCATCTGACTAGAAGCATAAAATAAAGGGGGTTTCACTAAAACACCCAAAATGGGGGCTGAAATTATAAAAAAACCCAACACTCAAAACACTTTATAAACACACCCAAAACCCATCATTACACACACTCAAAACCCATTTATAAACACACCCAAAAAATATACAATTGTTGATTTTGGGGTTGATTTTGGGTGTGTTTCTATGTTTAAATAGTGTTAGGGTTTTTTTATAAATACATGTCTAGGATTGGGTTTATTTATAAATTTGTATAAAATAAATCCAAGGATTTTCAGAGTCTATGCATTCTAATATTCAAGACACTCATGCACCACCTCCAACACACAGTCCCAAGCCTAAATGCCTTACAAAGTGATGAAGACAATTCTAATTTTCAGAGCTAAACTTGCAGATTAAAAGAGCGAAAGACATCACACCATAAGAGAATTCACCCATCAGCATCATATGTTCAATATTTTCATTAATCTAAATTCAGGACTAAACAGTGATCAAGACTCTAATTTCACACTATACAAGAAACCTTAAGAACTACTCCTCAACCACTACCATATACATCAAAGGAAGATCAAGATTTAGTCTGCATCTAGAGCAATGGTACTGAAGAGAATGCTTTTGCATAAGTATTCTACATACCACAATGACAAATGCCCCCATGTCCACACTGGGGGTGTAGGTTGCCAAATTCTTCCCGCGGATGTAAATCGCAATTGTGGATGCCATTCTTCCAAGAATCTTGTCCGTGGCATCCACAATATACCACGGCTTTTCAGTATTCACATGGTCTGCAGCTTTTGGATACCATGTTTTATTCCAA